GAGGAGGAGATGTGAGGCACCCCTTCAGGAGCTCAGAAGTAATCTGAAAATGTTTTACAGAAGAGGAGTGATATTCAGTAATTATAGCAAAAGACAGTCAGGGTCATTGTAATTTAGCTCACTGTTTACTGACACCACTTTTACCCTTAGCTTGGTAAAAGATGAATATATATATATATATATATGTTTTGCTGACTTCACTCCACTGTGCATCAAAAGCCTCAATAAGAAAAAAGGAAAATTGGATAGTTTGATGTTTGCAAATAATTCGGAGACAATGTTTCATTCAACAGGTATTTTTAAACTTCCTTTACCCATTATATATATATATACCCATATATATATATACCAAACAGGGCCCGAGGTCCTGTGTATTTAGCAGCTGGTTCCTCCAGCATGGTCTGCTAGCTCTGGCGAAATGACGCAGAACCAGTCCATCTCTCTAAGCTGAGGGAGCTGTAACTGGAATTCTTTCCAGTCTTCAGCCTTACCTCCTTTCTCCTGCCCTCAGTCACAGTGGGAGAAATGGGTGGGAAGAGAACTTCTATGATTGGAATCCAGAATGAAGACAGACTCCCCTTGCTCACTCTAATCAGAAATGCAGTGATAATCTTTGTGCAATAATATTATATTCCTCACCCTACTCTCACACTTCAACCAGAGAGGAAAACCTAGAGATGTTACTGTTTGAAAACTCAGTATAATATGGATTATAATAATGTTTCCAGTATTTCAATGTGAAATAGAGCGCCCCCCTTGAAATTTGCATTCCGTTTATTCCCAGGTTTGAAGACGGCCTCAGTTGGAAGGTTTATGAATGGGTAGAAAAGGTGAATTGGTCCTAACACCAACGGAAGAAGACATAAGTTTCCTTTTCCTGTCTTTAAAAATACAATTATGGAGTCTTCAGGCCACTCATCACCTGAAACCAGGCCTGTGGCCAGTTTTAAGGGGCCCCAACCAGCTGTAGCCACTTGCACTGGGCAGGAGCTGTCTCCGATTTCCTGTAAAACAACTGGGCTGCATGGCAACTGGGAAGGCGGAATGGCAGAAAATGCAGACACCCTCGATTCTGCTGAGGAGCGGAGTGTTTACATTACTACTG